CTCCAAACGGAGGGTTATGAGAAAAAAAAGAAAAACTGGCAAGATGGCTGCGCGAGCGACCAAAGAAACCCACAAATGTAAGAATTTTCTTGTTAAAAATTACGATAACCACTGTATTATCTTAGTTTAATGTCGTTTCAATGTATTATGGTCGTTTTCTTCGTAACAAGCATAAAAAATCACTAGTAGCAAGTTAATGTCTCTGTAACTAGCTAGCTAACTTCCCCGTTCCACCTTAAATAGTCCAGCAGTTTTGACACCTGAAGCGCCAGAATGTAACTGCTGCACCATTTAAGGTGGAATGGGAAAATTCAAACAAGAAGCTGGTGAATATCTGACTTCAGCTTTGTATCACCAAAGAATTAGCAGTGGGTGATAAATAATTGTCTTATTCCCCCTCTTTGAAAGCATATGATGCTCTAAATGTAACTAAAGCCCAGCAGTGAAGTTGCTAAACTTTACCCTCCTCTGCTATCACTGAAGACGGGCCAGGTCGCCTACAGAGCACCACTAGTAGCTGTTAATGAAGCAATGCTTTTTTTTTTATTTGAGGGTCCCATTTCTTAGGGCAAGATTTCAACCACTACCCCTTGCAACTCAGTTGCAAGGGGTTAGGGTGACACTCGAAAACAAGGGGTAGGGGTAAAAAGAAAAAATGGGATTGGGCCTAAGTGACACATATCGTTTCATGTCTCACAGTTTTGTTTATGATGATGCTTAAATATCGTAAGAGGGACCTATAACATTACCATTGCTCATATTCTGATATGCCCAGCACTATGGCTGTTGTTCTCTATGTTACACGCTATCAGGTTCAGACCTGCTATAGACTACTGCTTAATTCAGCACAGACAGCATTATCTTGCACTGTTGATGCAGCAACAACATCCAAAGCAGTGGTCGATCAAACACTGAGTGACAAATGGGTCACTTTACTGGCACGCTTGCTGTCACCCCACGGTTGCTACTGGCAGATATAGCAACAGGACTTTACAAGGCTTTTGCCTGCGAGGTTACAAATGGCTCCCTGAGTGCTAAGCAAGTCAGAATGTGAGAAAACTCACATTCTGTCTCCTAAGATGTTTTGGCCACCAAGTAATGTGCTACTAGAATAAAACGGCAGTGATTTCTCCACACATAAGCTATGCCGTGATTCTTATCACCCACTTTCAAAGGCGATTAGAAAGTTTCATTACCTGTATACGAGACAGATGCTTCACAAACACTAGCTGAAAAGCAAACGACAAGCTGCGGCAGTGGAATGTTCCAGCAGGAGGCATTTCCAAACATTCTCATCAATTATTAAGACACTGTACAACATAGAAAACAGGCTCTGGTGAAATCGTGACTAAACCCCAAAAAATTACAAATGCAAACCATGTCAACGATCAGAATCCAGTGTAAGCTAAGCTTATCCATAGGATCGATCTAATCCTCTGTCTAGCCTGGCAGCCTGTTATTGAAAATCATTGAGGCATATGCTCACACAGAGACAAAAAGGCCCTAAAATTAGCAACGACCAATATGGCATCCACCAAAATGCAGAGAAGAACAGTGCCAGGAGCATGCCAAGCTTTGACCGCAACAAGGCTTGCGACTGCAAAATTGGCCATAAAAAAACAATAGAAGTATCGATCCAAGTATTTCAGGACAGCACCTCGTCTTTTCATTTGCATAAATAGCATAAACTGTACGTGTCAAGAGGTTTGAAGTAACAGGAAATTGTGACAGGGAATGCTGACAGGCAGTAATTTCTGAAACAACATGTCTTGACTGTTAACATCTTGTCACATACAATGGTGGAGAAGCATGTAAGCATTACAAAGTGTCTTGACTTACTAAAAAAAGGATGAACATGATTATTAAATATTCTCAATATCCAGAAAGCAAGAAGCTCAGGTTGAAATCTGAGGGTTATTACCAAGAGCATTAAATTTAAGAATTTCACTGAACTGCAGAGTAATTCCATGGTTGAGATGTAAACCTAATCATGCTCAATATTTATATTTCTTTACAGTGGTGGTGATAGGAACCAAGGGCTATATTACAGACATTTCTTAACACTGAAATCTTATCTTATCTGTTTAGTCACAACCTCAGTTAGGACGGAATTTAGTACAGAAGCTATTACAGAACAACAGTTCTTAAGTTCATAATCTTTTTCTAACTCCAGATAAGAAAACACTATTACACAAACAGTATCCCTTCTTATTACCTCCGTGTGTCAATGTTGACAAAAACTTGTGAGATATAATATTACAGTGATGTCGTTGAATACTGAAGAGACAGAGTTGACCTTGTGTCTGTTTATTAGGAAGAACAATGGTAGCACGGTCGACTAAACCGTTTGGGAAACTGAAACTGAAAAACAGTGGTGCTCTGATAAACAGCACAAAGCGCTGTCACAATATTCTTAACGTCAAGTTTATCGCACTTTAGTTTTGTTTGGCTTTTTTACATCAATAACAGTGGACAGCTGCCTGGCTAACTAACTTGATTATTTTGATTACTTGTTTACGTTTCAGCTGTGCATGTATGGTCAGTTTCTACGTAACAGACATGACAGTCGACTGGTTAAGATTTCCTAACTTGATATGAGATGCTGTAAGATAAGATTCCCAAAGTAAGATAAGATTTGCTTCCGTAATACGAATTTGTGAGAAGTCTTATCTTGACCTGTCAGATCTTAACTTACAACAAAAAAACAGTTTCTGAAATACAGCCCCAGGAGTCATGATGTCTACAATGCAAATATTTACATTTTGTTTACTATCCAAAATGACTAGAGGACCTACACATATCTTCTGAGTTTGTATATGTCATGTTGAATTTGAATTCATGGCAAATGCCAAAAGTACGAGGTAGTATATTCATAATCATTTCAAGTAACAAATTTCTGTGATGTGGCTTTTAGAGGCTTTAAACACTGGTTCCTGTCACCATCACCACCATCACTGTGAACAATACTGACTCTGTAAGTTTCTCTAGAATGGTGCTTTTAACCTCAAACCAATCTGAATGACCTTTTCTATATCTTAACAATGTGATTCTGCAAATAAAACTTTAATGTAAAGAAAAGAAGAAAACAATGAATGTACAGGCATGTAGAGGATGCACCACATACCACTGTAATTCACATATAACACCTCCTTTTGTGTGTGTGCGACAAACATCTCAGCAAACACAAACACTTAAAAACAAACACACTCACTCTGGCCTCTATTTCCAGGCACACGCTGGCCTGCTAATGCAGGGTCATCCATTTTCTTACTATCTTCGCATCTGGATTTTAATAAAACCATCTTTCTGATACCCTGTTGCTGGGAAACACTTCACACAATTGCTAAAAGGTTTAGCAACCTGCAGGCTAACCTCTTTTGTGAGCAAAGCTGATCCAGCAAGCAAAGTGGCCTCCGAACAGTGCAGATAATTTAACTGATAATTTAATCCAGTTGTTTCTGTTGTTGTTGTTGTGTAATATGTTTACATAATTTTCACAGTTAGGCTCAGCAGATGCTGCCACGTTTCGAAGGCTGCAGGAAGAGTGGGATTCATTTTTTAAAGGAATGTGAGACTGCTGTGGTACACTATTTTTAAACTATAATGTGTTAAGTGTTCGAGATGGTTTCCTTCACCATAAAGATCTTCAGTGGAAAATCTATACTCGCTATGGAATTTAGTCCTTTGGACTCCGTAGGAGAGGGACCATCCAGCTTGTTATCATGGTATGGGGTTGCATTAGTGCCTATGGCGTGGGCAGCTTACACATCTGGAAAGGCACTATCAATGCTGAACAGTATATAGAGGTTTTAGAACAACATATGCTCCCATCTAGACGACGTCTCTTTCAGAGAAGGCCTTGTATATTTCAGCAAGACAATGCCAAAAGCATGGGTTCGCAGAAGAAGAGTCCCGGTGCTAAACTGGCCTGCCTGCAGTCCAGACTTTTCACCATTAGAAAACATCTGGCACCTCATGAAACGAAAAATCCAGCAAAGAAAAGACCCAGGACTGTTGAGCAGCTAGAATCCTACATCAGACAAGAATGGGATGATATTCCTCTCCCAAAAGTCCAGCAACTGGTCTCTTCACTTCCCAGACATTTACAGACTGTTGTTAGAAGAAGAGGAGATGCTACACAATGGTAGTCACGGCCCTGTCCCAACTTTTTTGAGATGCGTAGCTGCCATCAAGTTCTAAATGAGTTTTCATGAAATGGTAAAATGTCTCACTTTCAACATCTGATACGTGTTCTATGTTCTATGGTGAATACAACATGGGTCTATGAGACTTGCACATCATTGCATTCTGTTTTTATTTACATTTATTTACATGTCACACAGCATCCCAACCTTTTTGGAATTGGGGTTGTATTATCTTTAATGCCTGATGATGCCAAAATGCATTGGTATAAAAGTTCACCAGTCAACAAGTGTTGCTGGTTTTACTTTTTCTATGGTGGCCCCTACATAAGCAAGAAAGTGACAGTATTTCAACATTATCACTATCTTGCCAACATTATGTTTTGTGACCCCCCACATAAGGTTGACAGATAGTGATAATGTCTCAACACTAATCTAGCTGGCCAATCTCTAAGGCAGTAAAAACAGCATAAAGTTAGGTAAAATTAGAACACATTTATAGTCGACCATACTTCAGCTGTAAAAATGCAGTATGAGGACATACTAGTGCATGCCCCTAGACTGGCCTGTTACATCCATAACAGATATGGAGACAGTTATGAATCAGACGGCACACCTTTATGGCTCCTTGGGCTGCTCATAAGTCGTGTGACGCATTTCGGCTACTAATCCCAAAGACCTCCCAATAGAGTTGGGGGCCTGTATTCACAAACAACCTCAGGAGTAAAAGTTACGACTGTCATAAATATGGAGGAATCTGATCTAATATCAGCTCTCTAACTTACTACTTCTTTGTGAATACCAATCTGCAGAGGCAGCAAAACAAAGGGAACAATGTGAAACAGTGAGATTGCTCACCTTTACGTAGAGCTGCTGGAACTCGTCCAGGTTGAGACGGCCACTGGGGCAGTCCTTTAGAAAGCCTTTGTACCATTGCTTGAGCTCGTGCTCGTTAAACTCTGTGTTCTTCACCAGGTCCTCCAGCATCTCAGGGGCCAGCTTGCTGTTCTGTTTCCCCATGGCGTCTCTGTAGGACACAGGCCGAGGAAAGCGTCAGAAGAGCAACAGTTTATATCTAAGCTCACCTTTGGCCCCTACCTGTCTACAATTCATGATATTTACTGCATTGGTCAGTTAAGCAATTGATAAAGGGTAATTATTTCAAGATAATGACTAATTTAATAATTAATGAACTGATCGGTTCATCAAGGTCAGACTGCCATTGTAAATAAGAATACTGCTGTTGTTGGAACAAAACCTTGTATCTCCAAAATGATAACTTTGAATGTAAGTCAATGGAACCAGAATTTTTTCCAAGTCATTTTGGGCCATTTCCTTTGGTCCATTCACTGTGAAATGTACACACAGTGGAAAGAGCAACAGGCATTTTCAAATTATGTCAAAAACTTAAAAATGACAAAAATGGAGATACAAGGTTTTGTTCCGACAGCAGCGATATGTTGTTAAAGACTTGCCCAGTTAAATTTAGATAAATAAATAAATAAATATCTCTTAAACCCTTAAGGGATGTGGGCCCACACTTTAGTTTTACACTCTCGTTGCGCTGCACAATATATCATTTGTTAATCGTCGTTGTGGTGCAGGCCTTTGGAATACTGATAACGCAGAAGGCTGCAAAATACTTGTTGTCTTCACTGTGTCCTGTAAGCATCCCGAACAATCAGTATTTCTGTGACACAATTAGCATTTTAGTCATTCTTTATATAATTCAAACAAAAGTAATGCAATTTTCTAATTTGGAAAAAGTAAGTACACCCCATCTATATCACTACTTCAAACGTGTCACATTTGACTCGGGCGAACCAGATCAGCTGTAATCTTAACACCGTTAGAAAAAAATCTTAGAGGAAATTGTCTTACTTAAATCTCAGATAACTGGTCTGGTTTGTCCTTTGCTACTGGAGTGTGTGATATCATCATGCCTAGATCAAATGAGCTCTCTGTGGCCTTCAGAAACAAAGTTGTAGATGCCTACGAGTCTGGTAAGGGGATTAAGAAGATATACAAAATATTGGAAATCAATCATTCCACTGTCCAGAAGATCGTCTACCCAGAAAATCAGAAAATGTCTCCTGAAGTCTCTAAAACCCCAAAATTTTATCAGAGGATCTGCAGGCAGATCTTGCCACAGTTTAAGTAATTTGATTTACATGGGAGGTGCACCAGAAAGAAGCCTCTGCTGCCTAAAAAGAACATCTGAGCAAGACTAAAGTTTGCTAATATCTACACAAGGACCAGGACATCTGAAACAACGTAGTATGGACAGACGAGTCAAAGACAGAGTCGGCCACAGTACCAGAAGCCACGTTTGGCGAAAACCAAAAACAGCATTTGATCAGAAGAATCTCATACTGATGGTAAAGCATGGTGGTGGAAATGTTATGGGTTTGGGCTGCTTTGCCACCTTAAAGCCTGGTCAACTTGCAATCACAGAATCGACTATGAATTCTCTTTCATACCAGAGACTGGATGAGGAGAATGTGAGACCATCTGTAAAAAGCTGAAGCTGAAGGAGTGGATTTCCACCAGGATAACGATCCCAAACATACAAGTAAATCCATCAAGGAACAGCTCAAAAAGAAGAAATGGAGGGTTGTGGAATGGCCTACTCAAAGCCCAGATCTGAGTCTCACTGAAATGCTGTAGGTGGATTTGAAACAGGCTGTACATGCAAGAAACCCCTCAAACACTGCACAATTGAAAGAATTCTGCAAAGAGGAATGGGCAAAAATTTCTCCCAGTCAATGTCAGAAACTGGTGGACAGTTATAGGAAACATCTGCATAAAGCTGTTTCGGCCAAAGGGGGCAGTAAAAGTTACTGAAAAAAGGCAAAATGACACTTCAGCTATTTTATTGAATAAATGATTGCAGTTATTAAATGATTGAAGTTGTGGGGTTTTTTGTTCCATTACATAACATTTATCTAAACATACTGTTTATCGGAAGATCAAATACTGATATGTTCACATGTCAAAAAAGAGAAACATTTCAAGGGATGAAATTCATTAGGTAAATTTTCAAATACTGTAATGTAATGTTTCACATTTACGTTTCTTTTAGTCCATTCATCATGAAATTACACACACACACACACACACACACAATAAAACACAATAAAACACAAAAGTGTCTGTGTGTTTTAGTTAATAACTATCCTGAACACCAGATCACACAATATTCCAGGTGAAGGTTCTACCTGTAAAATGACTGCAAACTGTTTCCCGAATCTAGTCTTGTTAATGGACATTTGAAGAGCCGTACAAAGGCTGCATAATGCTATTTGGTGATTAATGTTATGACTGCTGAGATTAGACCATTGCAGTGGTGCAGTGGTATAAATGTGATGAATAGCGCCAGTCAAGAGGGATTATGTCATTTGAAAGCTAACTGAGGACACATCAAATGTGGGTTTGGTGTAATCAACCAGAGAAAGGAGCCCTGACAAAAATAGAATGAGCAATCAAAAGTAGTGTGCAAATTAGACTAGCTAATATGACCACAGGGAACAATGCTGGTGACTAAGATACTGATAAACACACACGTATGAGCAGGCTGAGAAAATGAGATGTAGCCTAAACCGCACTATAGTTTAAAAAAGAGAGCCTTCCAGAAAAGCCCATGGAGGATTGTTGGTGTAATAGACAGAGCAGCTTCGCAGAAGATCACATTAGAAGAGAAGCCAAAACCCTTCAAATCCCTGAATTCAGTGTGCTGCCATCATTCCAAATCTGACAGTCCATTTTTAGGGGCAACACTATTTGAGCCAACTCGCCTTATCTGCAATGGCTCGGCCTGCAGCTGTTTTCGGCCCGCTCTCTGAACAGCCATCACATGCACATGCGTACAGTTGCTTTGCATTGCTGGCAGGTGGATGGGTTCATTAAACAATCTTCCATTAGCATAACTACATTCAAAGCCACAAATGCACTGTTACAGCCTGACCAAAACAATTATAGCTATATATAGATATCTTTCACAATAAATTCCAGTAAGAGGAGTGTAGAACTACAGGCAGAGCCGCAGTCTTGCAGAGGACATGCAAGTTCTGCTTTATCTCTGTAGGACGGCTCATTCACTGAAATGAAAGATGCTTACTGGATGCCATTGTACTGTACTGGCCATTATTAATTTGCATCCTGACACAAACGAGTGAAAGAAACAAATAAGCCTCGGACTGAAATTCCAAAACAAACACTAATTTCATTACTCACATGAGCTCCGTTTCATTTCCTAAGAAAATGGATGAGTGAACAACTGCTTTTTCTCTCCATGCATCTTGTCTTTCTTCGAAGGGAATTGACGAAGAGTGGGATTTGTTTTCTCATTTCAGTCCTCACCTCGCCACCCACGCTGCCATGCTTGTTAAGCCATTAGTGTTTCAAGTAAGCTGTGAACTGAACCCGGAGGTCACGGCCCGAAGAGTACATCACAACACAAAAGGCCCAACTACAGTGCCATGACAAAACAGATCCACATCAAATAAGGCTGTATAGCAGGAACACCAGAGGTCAGGCCCAGAGCCAAGGAGCCTGCCATTTAGAGCCCTAACACGGCAAATAGTACTTCTACTGTACTTGTGTCTCGCAGTTCCCTCAAGGCGTCTGAATAAAGAAGAGATAAAGCTTCCAATCTTGGTCGTGGAATATCCTGTTCTGCACATTTTAGTGTGGACAGACTAATACATATACTCTCAGCCCATGATTTGATTCTCTATACTGGGCTCATGATTCGGTATTCTCACAATAGTTTGAACTAAATTCAGATGAAGAAAACCAATAACTATAATCATGTTGTTCCACAACTTACTAATACTAGTGCTGGGAGGCACGAGGAGTGCTGGGGTGAGCTGTTGATTGGTGGTGACTGTTTTCAAACTTTGGTGCAAACAATGCAACTGCAGGTGATGGCACAAATAACAGAACATCCCATCTTCACAATGCATTGTCACATCTGCATGAGGCTGTCACAGTTTCGCACTGCAATATCACAATATTACAACACATCGTTACACCCCAAGTTGGATCAGATTCACTGTTTTTATCCAGTTTAAAATTTTCTATGAAATCAACTTAGCAAAGGTTTGTAAATCAGCTGATGAATCAAGTGTTAGAAGAGGGAAAACACCAAAATATGAGGCGGGAGGACTTAAGGGCCAGGACTGGGAACCACTAGAGTAAAGCAACAATGACCAATCCTCTTTGCAATGTATTGAGTGTAATAATGGGCAGATATCAGACTAATCACATAAACTGTGTCGTCCCTTAAAAATAAACCCCATCCCAACGGATTCATCCATTTTCCAAGCCTCAATCACAGCCAAGGCAAGTCAACTGGTGTGATCTGTAGTCTCATTTAAGTCTGGTATCATCTTTTACATCTTGATCAAACCAAAGACAGGCTTGGATAAATCCATATGCCCACCTGTCAGGACAGCTTACTGTAAAAACACCATTAAATTTTGATGTACTTGTTGTGCCCAGTGCTGCGTGTCCAAGACAGACTGCCAGAGTGGTAATTAAAAGGAGTTCAGTCTGTACCACTTCAGATCTGTGGTAACCTCCAACACATAAATAATATTTAATGACAAATTTTGGATTTAGCACCCTTGAAAAGCTGGCTGGCCCTGAACAAACAGTCTGGTAGTGGCATTCCTGGCCAATCGATGGCCTTGCTGCTGTGCCAAAGCAAAGAGTGCCTGTTGTCTCACAGTTTCACAGTCATGAAATTTACTACCACCTCATCTTGTCAAGGCTGGTCACCATAAATTAAAAAAAAAACTGCTGTTGACTGCTGCATAATTTCTGGGGTCTGACAGAGGTTGCCAAGCAAAGTTTGTGGATCAGAAACATACATTTTACGTTGTTTAGTTACCCAGCATTGTTGAACGTCACTGTTTTAGGCAAAATATGTAAGAAACTGCACAAAAAAGACCAGCGAGAAGCAACGTCCCTGGTCGAATCGATCCGCAGGAATGATTTTGCCTTTTCAAGCAGCACGGCTTTAATGCAGCTACACCAAATTGATCTTCGCCAACCATGTAGCCTGAATAACAGCTGTTACTTAGGGCAAAAGTGACATAGCAGAGCCCATCCAACTCCAGTCCTGTTTCTATCCATGACTGGATTAGGATTAATCATCTCCTTCAACAGTACATGTCACACCTTGTTACCACATCTACCCCCTAAGGCTGGCAAATGTAATGTTTAGGATTAAGGGCTAAGTTTATTAGATGGCACAATGCTGCATAAGCCTTTGAATGCATTATAATGACAAGGAAGGCTGAGCTCTGCCCAGAGATCAGAGGAGCATTAACAGGGGGGGAAAAAAAACCCTGAGTCAACCCAGCACTAGTTTCTATACGCACACCAGCCTGACAGATTATGCCACGTATCAATTCACCCTGGCCAGAGGTTTTAACTCGGCTATATCTGGTTTATTTTGAGGGGCATCTTATATAACATTCATTTTTATTTCATTATTTCTTTTTTTCTGATTTGACCTTGACAGCCTGAGCTCGCTGAACGACCATGACGAGAAGACCGAGAAGACAATGCGAATGTGAGGATGTTTTCCAAGTCACCAAACCCTTCAGTGCTGCCCTGCAGAGGAAAGTTTGATGCGGGCTCTGAATAGTGATGCATGTGTAGGCGCTCCCCTCACCAGCCAGCTAACGGTCAAGGCAAAAACACGACGACGCGCAACACGTTTTCCTCTATTTTAACAAACCAAACAATTTTTTAAAAATATATAAAAGTCCACACAGACAGCCTGGAGGGATTTTAACATAAGTACGGGTGCCTTTTCTGTGAGAACATACCGGCAGAAGCGAAGAAACGTCGAGCAGAGCGTCCGTTAGCAACGGTCCCCTTCGCTCAACACGTAACGTACACAGGTATCCGCGCGCACTGTTTTGGTTCAAAAACCACCAACGGCATTTGCTAAACTCTGGCTAAGCTATCTTGGAAAAAGTGAAAATATGCTGTTTTTGACGGCTGAAACGGAGGGCAGATTGAATAAAGAAGTTTATCGAAAGCTCCTTAACGACAAATCCATCACTTTGAACTGAATTCATGCAGTGGGGTAGCTGCCTGATGTTCTAGCTAACTAGTCGGTTCCCCATTAGCGTCATTTAAAAGCGTAGAGCTGCAACGTCTTCCTTACCTTGCCGAGAAGGAGAAGGAACGGCTGTTTTTCTTTTCTGCTTGGAGCAGCAGGGCAGACGCGAGTGTTGCCTTAAAGTGCTCGGTAAAGCAGCAGACGACCGCGGCGAGTGTGTCTTTTTTTCCCGGAGGAGAGAGGAGAACTGCCGGAGGAGGAAAGGAGGAGAGAAGCCAGTCAGTGCGATGGGCGAAGGAGCACTGAGGGAGACAATGGAACTCCGCGTGAAGCACTGGAACTGGACCTCTCTCTCTCTCTCTCTCTCTCTCTCTCTCTCTCTCTCTCTCTCTCTCTCTCTCTCTCTCTCTCTCTCTCTCTCTCTCTCTCTCTCTCTCTCTCTCCACACGCATAGCAATCTTAAACACAGGAACATAAACACAAAACCCCATCACCGGCTCCAGCTGAGCTTCATATTCGTGGCTGCTATACATTACACACTTTAAAAAGATGGTCCTTCAAGGGTTCTTCAGTAAAGTCAGTGGTTCTATTTAGAACCATGAGTTATGTCATGTTTTAAATGGTTATTTGCATTCTTTGCATATAGTGCACGTCAATACTTTGCTCCTGTTTATTCCGCTCTTGTTCGCTCTTTACTGTGCTATCTATCTATGTATCTATGTATCTATCTATTATTCTTTATAGCACCAAAAAGGGTTCTTCGGTTGTTACAAGCTTGACATCATAACAATAGAAGAACCCTTTTTGGTGCTATATAGAACCATTTTTTAGCAATCTTGCTATGTTGCGATCAGGAACATGAATACAAAACCCCATCACCAGCTCCAACTGAGCTTCATATTCGTGGCTGCTATACATTTTTGAAATCTTACACACTTTAAAAAGATGATCCTTCAAGGGTTCTTCAGTAAAGTCAGTGGTTCTGTTTAGAACCATGAGTTATGTCATGCTTAAATGGTTCTTTGCATTTACTTCGAATGAAATGGTTCCATTCACTGGAGGGGAAATGCACCACTGCATTGTCAACTGCATAGTATTTATTTCATTTTTGTACCGCACATTATTTTTTTATTGTTTAGAATATTTTATTTTATTTTTTATCTTTCCTTTCTATTTATGCATCTCTAAATAGTGCACGTCAATACTTCGCTCCTGTTTATTCTGCTCTTGTTTGCTCTTTACTGCTTTGTCCTGCTGCAATAGAAGAATTTCCCTCTGGGTTTAATAAAGTGGTCTATCTATCTATCTATCTATCTATCTATATATCTATCCATCTATCTATCTATCTATCCATCCATCCATCCATCCATCCATCCATCTATCTATCTATCTATAAATTATTCTTTATAGCACCACAAAGGGTTCTTCTGTTGTTACAAGCTTCACATCATAACAATAGATGAACCCTTTTTGGTGCTGTATAGAACCATTTTTTAAAAGGTTCTATATAGAAACATATATACATTCTCCAATCAATCTGACGAACCACTTTACCATGCAAGCAACCATTTAGGCATGAAACGGTTCTATACAGAGCTCATGGTTCTAAATACAACCATTGATGTTACTAAAGAACCCTTTTAAAGAGTGTACAGTTTACCCTCAGTGTTGAACAGCTACAGTCAGTTTTGATGTGCTCAGGCTTCCTCCCACAGTCCAAAGACATGCAGTCAGGCTAATTGGCTAAATTGCCCCTAGGTGTGAGTGTGTGTGAATGTTTATGCCTTTCTGTCTGCCCTGTGATGGACTGGTGACCTGTCCAGAGTGTATCCTGCCTTCCACCCAGTGACTGCTGGGATAGGCTCCAGCTCCCCCTGCGACCCAGAAGAATAAGTGGCTTAGAAGGTGTGTGTGTGTGTGTGTGTGTGTTGTGCTGTAACCAGAACTGGCTACTGTTTATTCAAAATACGCAAAAACTTCGACAGCAAAATACAGGCACTTGTAGTAAACCTTGAAATATTACATGAATACCTGAAATAATGTACCCAGGGGTTCAGTCTTTTAAACCTACCTATTTGCTTGAACTAGACACCTGGCATCCTTTCTTTGCTGCATGTGCATTAAGACTTGGGCTCAATTTCTGAGCTGCTGAGCTGACGTTAGGTGTAAATGAAGCTGGTATGTTTGGTGATATGACTCGTGTGGAATTGTGTAGAACTGAGGTGTAACCACTGTCCCATAGACTGCTGTTGGGGTAGGAGAGTCATAGCGCACATTACGTTGCAGTGCATGCTGGGGACTGTAGTGCAGCACATTGTGAAACTAATATTATTAGAGAATTTAAATACTTTTGCGGGCCGGATAGGATTGTGTCGTAGGCCTGATCTGGCTCCCAGGCCTTGTGTTTGACACATAGGATTTAGACTGTCCTCACTCCCACATGCTGCAGTCTTTTATACTTTTATACCCAGTGGCACGCATTATATGTAAAAAATTAATACATAAATGTGTGATGTTTACACCAAAGGTTGTCAGTTTTATCCCAAGAGCACAGTTTGGTGATTTTCCTACTCACATGCACCTGACTTAACTTGGATTTGTAAGTGGCTGCATAATTTAGTTGTCAGGATGTAGATAAAGCCATTCAGAGTGGTGTGGCATGAAATGCTTTATTCTAAAGAAACTTGCCAAGGCAGAATTGTTCACAGCAGTGGTTATAGGAACCAGACATCCAAAGAGTTTAATGTCACTAACAGCTAACTGACAGAAAACAATGAATAAAATGGTTATGAATACATTGCTTGATGCATCTGATGTTGTTTTACGATAGTTTTGCGATAAAGTAATAATGCATATTAAATAAAATGGCTATATTTGTGTTGTATACATCACAACCCCTGGTTCCACTCACCAAAACTGTAAGGAAATCTGAGTGGATACGTTTCTCTACAGTGCACTGTTTCACATCAAACCGCTCTGAATCACTTTGTTTACATCATCAGCTGAATTATGCAGAAATTTTGAAGAGTTGTTTAGAGCTTTTCCAGGTTTAGTAGGTGTGTTCAAGCAGGGAAATCACCAAACTGTGTTAGACACCAGCCCTCTAGGACCAGAATTGATGAGCCCTGGTTTACACTATAATGGACATGGTTTATTATCTAGAAGAGAGGGGTCCCACTCAGTACTTATGCTTTGCTCTCGAGGCATGAATCATTACTGTGCCATATGTCAGATGATTTGAGCTCCAGTGTCTCAGACAAGTCCATTTGTTTTAATAACTTAGCCAAGATTGAACGAATACAGATGATCAGGGAAGAATTGATGTTTTTAACACTCCCAATTAATTTTTGGTTTAGTTTGAGTAACTCTTGCACTGATGTTAGAAAATCACCTTGACTGTGGCAAAGAATATTGATCACACAAAAGTGAATATAATTTTCTTTCTAAATTGTCCATTCATGTATGTTGCACCAGCAACAAATGTGACAGACAATACATCAAGTGATTAAACTGAGTGAATGCTTTGCAAGGTAAATATTTAGCAAATAAACTTCTGCAATTTGTGAAGCAGGAGCAGCGTGAAGATAAATGGTTCTACATGCCGTTCAGGTTCATTTAATCTTCTCGGTGGCAGCAAGAGGAATGAAATCCGTAGTTGTGTAAGTAAAACACGTTAGACTGTTTCTGGTGGGGAGAATCATTCTCTCTCATCTCCTACATGGGTCTGTTGTGTTGGAGGGTGACAGGGTTAGCACATCCTTTGATGGATTACACCCTGCTAACACGATGCGTTGTCAACCGGATGCTCAGGCTGCTGTCTTTTCCTTGCTAATACCTGGCCTGAACATGCCTGACTCAAGGCACAATGCAAATAGAGTCAAAGGGGAGAAAATATGCTAGTGTTACTTTATCATGCTTTGGCATGGTGCATTGCAGTAGCATCCCAGAATACACCGCCGATATTGTGCTACACCAGAATTGTCAACTAATTTAGACAAGGACCTTGCAGTAAACGCTTGCTGTGCACTGTCACGTTCCTGCTGCCAGGATTAGACTTTAACGCGTGAGTAGCTGTCCATTTCACTGGGAATTAATGGGCGGAATAAATGTTCGAAGAACTGGAGAATCCGTGCTCAAAGAGATCCAAATGACTCTGCTAGCAGCCATATCAAACGCCATTTGGCCAGTGTAATCCCCGTGTCCCTAGTGGCTGATGGTGCCTTTGAAAACCCTTCATCAAGGCTTTCCAGTCACTGTGAGAAGCTCCAAGGCCCTAGTCTGGGGTGAGGTCTGTTATGACAGCAATAAAGTGGGACTAGGGGTTTAATCAGAATCTGCACCGGTGACTAACAGGCCAGGGAGTTATCCAACCCTCGTTGATCACATCCTTCCTCTGTCTCATCTCTCCTTTGCATGCAGTTCTCTGGGAATTTATCATGAGAGAGAGAGAGAGACAGAAGAAGACAGTGACACAGCAGATTTGCATGTCATTTTGAAAGGATATGCGGAAAGACAGGCTGGAGAAACAAAAGGCCGCCGTTAATTAGGACTACATGGATAAAGTCAGTGGTGCAGAGAGGTGTTTGAATGTGGCGGCAGGCTCTGTCGTTACCAAGGATGTTAAGCTGAGCAGGTATTTACAATGAAATGAAGCTAATATTCCTGCAGCTGACAATGCAGCATGCACAGTTCTTGCAGACTGATACTATTGGTATTGTGCTGGTAGAGGCACAGCAAGCACACAATGGAGCTCTATTGCAACTATTACTGAACAACTATGCGATGATGACGATATGTGAGCTTTGATCAAATCCAGCTCCTGCAAAACCAACAGTGTCTCCAGTCCTCTGTGATTCCAGAAGTGTACCATGGTTAGAAAGATAAAAATGGTAGCTTTATTAAGAACAGATTTTGTGACAGCAACAGATATTTCAGTGTGGAGCCCATCTAAAACTTGCCCACCACTTCAAAAATGACTGCCGACAGGTTCCACCTGGGACAAACAAGGAGCCTGGTACCTCAGGAGCTAGAAACATCACTGAGCCTCAGAATTAAACGCAACATGATCATTATTACAGGAGTCTATTCTTGGTGAAAACCACATGGCAAGACATGGGAGGACAGTGGTGCAAGCAGGGAAGAGGCAATCCATCATATGGAATTACCCTTCTGGATCCCTCAGACCTGCAGAGAGTTTGACAGTACCAGAGAGGCAAAGACTAATCCAGACACAGCAGGTGACCAAAGGAGATTGACTCAGCAGGCCAGGTAGGCATCGGTACAAAGCCTGGAGGACTAAGGCAAACCGGGAAGCATACTTA